ACACCTATCATAGCCAGTCTTCTTTAATAGTTTGTGTGTCCTTTCCCATGAAATTGGATTGTGAGCTCCTTCGGAGCAAGAACCTATTTTATCTGCCTTGGTCTATTACTATATAACCTGATATATACAAAGCAGAAATGTTTGGTGAAATAGAAGTGGAATTAAATGTAGTCTCACATGCCTGCAATCCTCAGGAGGTGGAGCTGATGTAATCTGGATTTTGGTGTTAATAATGTATAAAATGGAGGTAATAATAATAGCTCTTAGATTTGTTTTATTAAATAATGTTATCTATATATATAACATTTATATATATATAAAGTCTTAGCAGAGCATCAGATACTTAGTAGGTGTTCAATAGATGTTTACCATTAACCCTTTGGTTGGGATAGTTCTTGTGGGCTTATATTCATCTCACAGTCCAAAGTCACTAGCATTGTTATCAACAGAATCATTAATTTCTATTTTATCATAAAGCTATAAATACAATTTTCTAAGCGAGAAGATATCTTCCCCCAGTCCCTAATAGTAAAGATAAGAAAATAGTAATAGATATGATAAGGAAATAGTTAAGATAAGGAAACTGAGGCTCTGTGATGAAGTGACTCTCCGACACCCCACTCATGGTGAGGAGCAGAGCCCCAGGCGTAAATGTTCTGTGTTCACTGTAGTAATTAATTATTCCTCAAAATTATTAGTTAAGTGGAGATGAAAATTGCCTGGAAGACTGTGAAATCTGTTTTAACAGTATCTGGTTTTGATATTAAGTCAAAATACACATAAATTAGGCATTTTCTGTGCATGCCAACCAACTCACCTTATCATGGTTGAGTTGCTGTTGTTAGAATTGGTGGTCTTTAAGCTGCACTACTAATCCATCCAGTAAACATTAGACTTAAAGGGACTTTAGAGCACCTGTAATTAAATGTGCATATGCTGTGCTAAAATGATTAAGGAAAATGAGGGCCAGAATAGTTATGTGACTTGGCCAGGATCAAACATATTAAGCCATTTCATTTGTAAGGATGGTTACAGTAGTTGAGGGTTATTACAGATTGCTGGCTCTTTTGGCCGGGGTTGAACCTGATATGATCTTGGGAGAGACCTGATCATTGGGTCAGGAGACAGAAGACCTACCTCCTAGGCCATGTGTTGTTTTTAATATTCTTAGTCTCAACTTCCTCATCTATGTAATGGACCTAAAAATATGCTGCTTCTACCTCATCAAATGGAAGGATATATTAAATAGTGTGTAAAATGTAAAAGAAGAAACTATTATTGCTATGATTTTGCATAAATTGAGAATTGAACTTGCTGTAAGCTAAACTCAACTTTCTATGGGAACTTAGTGTTACTGTGTCCATTTTATCAACACGAAATAGGTCAGAGATAGAAAACAAGTAACACTATGAGCTGATGGTTAGAATCTCTTGTTTAGGGATTTTTTTTGGATGGTAATAGATATGTTGGTTTGACTGTATGAGTCACACGATGTTCTCCAGTGACTTGTAACTGGATCCATGCAAGTTCTCAAAGATTTAACTTCCTTAGTTATATATAACTTTATCATTTATGTTCCTGATTTACTAAAACTTCCCTTGTTCAAATGCTATCCACAAGAGACATCTGACAGCCAAGAAGTCTTTCCAGATCATTCAAATGAGTTCCTAACGGTTAGTTTTTTGAAGGCAGGAAGTCACAAATTGCCAAGAAAAAAGAAAAAACTTGAAAACGCAGAGGTGTTTTCTGATATTCAAGGGACTGGTTGTATTTCTGAATGGATGTCCCCATTTGATTGAAATAACCTGTTCTGCATTTCTTATATTAATGACATAGTTAACTGGATTATGCATTCTGATTAATAGCTGAAAATAAATGATCTGGTTAACCTAAATATTTTATCTAAATATGATTTAGAAACACATTTTACAAAGGATTCAATTTTATTTTTACCTAAGGTGTTGATCTTAACCCTATTTTAAGGGTATTATAGAGTAGCTTAATTTATGTTATTGAAAATGTGGGCTGGTGCCTGTATTCTGTATGTAGAAGTCACTGGGGCTCTATTTTGTGAGGAATTGAGAATCCAGGAGCACAGAGTACTTCCAGGGAAACAAATAACTGTGTTTGAAAATCCTCTTCATGGGCAAATGCTGCCTATATCTGCACATCTTGTACGCTTCTTTTCTAGTAAGCATGAGTTCGCCAGGACTGTTCCAGTCCTCTCCGATCCCTCTCTTTGCTGGATTCCTGTGAGACATGCAAGGCAATATGTAATGGTGTGGGAAACTGTGTGGTAGCATTTGTCTCGGTCTCTATTTGTGAATGTGCTCAGCTTCCATTTGTATTGTAAATACTTTTAGGTGGAGCCTCACTCTGTACTTCGGTATTTCTCAGGATCTAGCACAGTGCTGGGCACATAGTAAGCACCCAATAAACACATAATTAATCAGCACTAACTGGGAAACTTCTCAAGGTCTGGGATTCTGTTTCAAATTATCTACATGGTACCTCATATAGGGCCACATGCTGACAGGTGCTTATTGATTGATTTGATTGAAACTATAAACAGAATACCCGCTGATTTCTTTAACTTCTATGATAACGTGAATCTGAGCCCCCAGTCTTTTTCCTCACTTAACTTGTCTTGCCCAAGCAGTTTTAATTTGATGCTTCTAATTGAGGTTGCCTGAGTTATCACTGAAAGTTTCATTAGAAAGTATGCATCGACACTCTTCAAGTCCTTAGAGGTGGAAGAGATTATAAAAGTTTTCAGCTCAATCCTTCTAAATGCATGATAAAGAAGTAGGTCCATTATAGTTAAGTGACCTGTCCAAGTGATTCATTATTAAATGGACTAATAGTCCATTTAATGTCACACTTTGAGCCCCCATTTTATTTCAGATGACACGGTGAGTTAAGAGTAGAGTCTCTGGTTTCCTAATTCTCCAGCCATAGTCACCATTCTAATCCCAACACAGTTTGGCCACCATTAAAAAGTTATCACTTAGCATAGTGATATCTTTCCCTTCCCTCCCTCTTCCTAAACACTCATTGGAGAAATCATGTGTCCAAAGTTTCCAACTTTTTCATAACTGTAGCACATTATGGTAAGCGGATTTCATACCACTTTGCTCCCAAAGGTAGGACAAGACTATTTTTTAAAACTCTTGCTTTGAGAAGTTTTCAAAAAGTTCACAATACTTGTGATATGTGAGGAGCTCTTGGCATATCACAGAAACAGTGGGATTTGGGAATCCATGTCTCAGGGAATCAGAATTACTGTGTTTGGCAGAGTATGTGATGGTGATATAATGGCTCTGCAGCGGAAAGGCATATAGAATCAAGCCAGGATGGAGATTTGTCACTCAGAAGCATCAGCTCTCATCTTAGATAAGCAGCTCCACTTTTTTGTGCTTGAAGGAGACCAAAGTTAGCCCCTGTTTAGCTCCAAGTCTAAAATTATATGCTTAGACATGTAAAACCTATATATATCCATATATACATATGTATATATATATTTGTGTGTGTGAGGATGGTGACTGGACTAGTGATTGTGGATAAACTAGATTTGGGGCAGAGACTTTCCTGTCATTTCGGAGCTTGGTTCAGTTCTGCAGTACCCTGAATATCTTCGGAAGTGAAGGGTGGGGAACTGGGGAGGAGAGAAATGTCACTTTGCTCCCTGTGGGCACTGCCAGCATTGTGGGAGACTTGCCAGCAGTGCTGCCTGGGTTTGAGAGAGGAACACATCAGGGCTAGAAGGAAGGAAAGGGAAGGTCTTGTGGGATGGGTTTTCACAGGCCTAGAAACCTGCTGCAGTTAAGTGAGCATGGCAGCAATACATATTCGTCTATGTATTTATTTAACAGGGGAAGCAATCAGAATCCTAGATGTCAAGGGAGGGTTGCAGAAGTAGGTTCTCAGGCTTGGTTTGCAGTATCATTTGACCTAAGGAGATTGTATCAGCTAATCTGAGTTTGGAAAATCTTAGGAGATAAGATTCTTGGCATTGGGCCTCTAAGAGTAAAAAACTTTAAAAATTACAGTAAATTTCCTGGTAAATCTGACTCTAGCCTTCTCTATCACTCTGCATGCCCCCCTCCCCGCCCCAAACCCCTTCATGGTACAGAAGACACAGGAAGAAAGGACCATCTGGCACAGCACGCCAGCTTTTTATTTGGTTGCTCTCAATCCTACCTTCCTGTTTGGATCACCCCTCCCCTCTGCTCATACTTCAGAAACCAATCAAGGTGTCTTCTGAACTCATTTATTCCCTTTGTTTCAACCGCCTTCTTGGGTAACTTTTTCCATATGCTTACATCCTTGCCTTACAACAGACATTTTTTTTTTCTTTTTTCATCCAAAATGGTCTGATTGGACTCTTAGGAAAAGCCGTTTACTCAAATACATGACAAAGTGCTTCTAAAGATCCCAAACAACTTTTCATTACTTTTGATGACTAGGGTATATAAATAGAGGAAAAATTGCTTTGTTTAAAAATTACTGGCTGATGGGCAATGATGCTGAGTAGTAGGACATTAAAGAATACATTATTATTAGCATTGAACCCTCCCCAACACCCAGCCCCCAGTGAAATTGTCTAGATTTAGAGCTGTGGTCTGTAATTATTACTATTTTTTAAAATTTGGCATTTACTTTATTGTTCCTGTTTGACTTCTTCCCTTCACTGTGGTGACATTAGTACTCCTAATATTGCCTGTTGTGGACCAGTTTTCTTCAGCTGTTGCTAAAATGCCAGATGTCATGTTGGAAACGCAAAACCTGAAAGATGGTCGTAAATCACAAAAACAAACCATAAAAAAAAATAATAAAATACCCTGAATGCTGTGCTCTGGAGCTTCCCCTTTAAGTCTCCTTTTGTTCACCGCTCTCCCTACTCCACCATGCCCCTCACCCAGCCTCCCATCTTTTAGGGCAGTGAGGGGTGGGGGCAGTTCAGCAGTTTCTCACCTGAGACTTGATTGTTTATTTTGCAGATTCCGAGCAAAGCACAGGTTCAGACTCTGAGGTGCTCACTGAGCGGACTTCCTGCTCCTTTGACACTCACGCTGACCTGGGCCCTGGTGCTGCAGGCCCTGTGCCTGCTGCCATGTCTTCCATGGAAGAGATTCAGGTAGAGCTGCAATGTGCTGACCTCTGGAAGAGGTTCCATGACATTGGAACTGAGATGATCATCACCAAAGCAGGCAGGTAAGGACAGGTTCCTTTGAATGGCCAGATTCCAAGAATGGAGAACAAAAGTAGGAGCTGTTACATTTTTCTTTTCACTTACTTGTGGTAGGTAGCGTTGGTGATGCCAAAGCAGCCTGTGCCCACAAAAACATGAGGTCAAAATGAACCTGAAATTTTGTTCATTTTATTTCTCCTTTGGAACCTTCTTCCTTCTCGAAGTTTTGGTGGTGAATAAGATCATTAAAAGTCTTCTTAGGAGGAGCAACTCTGAAGGGGAATTATTTCCAATACCATCTCTTTTTTGTTGCTTGGGTTTCAGTTGACTTCTGTTCCACATTTTGATATGTTATGGCTTAGAAAGAAACAGCAATTCAAGGAAAAAGTTTTTATCCAGTTTCTTATTTTGTGTTTTCACTCAGTACTGTGGATTTTGTGTATTCCAGTCATTTTCATCTCTGATATCATTCCCTCGTTCCCTGCACTTCAGTGAATTCAGTTCACCCAAATACCTTTTTCACAGCTCTCCTGTGACCTCATTTCATGATTTGTTCTGCAGTGTTTTAAATTCCACATCTCTGCCTTCACAAATTCACTTGATACCTGGATATACCCAGATATTCCCAGTACAAACATATACAGTTTGTTCTTTAGTCATATCCCTTTGTTTAGGTTAAGATCCATCATTCGTTGTTTCTTTATTGGATTGCCTCAGCCTTTGCTGTTGTTCCATGTAACTCTGCTCAAGTAATTCTGGAACAACTCAAAAACATATAAAGAAAGCTTTCTCTGCTCTGACTTTTCTTCACCTCCTCCCGATTCCTCAAGTCTGTTTCTTCCTTTTCACTTCATTTTCCTTCCTTTGGAGTGTCCTTTCCAATTTTAATCTCAGTTTTCATTTTCTTAGTTACATTAGTTTTGTATGACTCTCTGTTCCATTTTCCTGCTCAGATTTTAGTCATCATCTACTTCTTCTCACTCCCCAAACTGTAATCCTGTTGATTCAGAATTACTGTAGTCTACAGAGCCCTCAATCTTTGAATGTACCAACGTACTCTGTAGAATCAGCACCATGGACAGAGGTGCTTGTGGGGATTAATGGGTTTGGAAGACTCAAGAATTGGCCTAAATTTAACCATAAAATTAAAACCAAACGCCTCTCACTTTGTGAATATGAAAGATTAATTTTTCCCTAGGGTGTTATGACTTCATTTGATAGTCTGTGCTAAAATACTGGCAAAAAGAAAAAGCAACTTTTGGTAAGACAATTCAAATGTAGTCCTAGAATTTTATTTTTTATTTATTTATTTGTTTTTTTAAAGATTTTGTTTATTTATTTGACAGAGAGAGACACAGCGAGAGAGGGAACACAAGCAGAGGGAGTGAGAAAGGGAAAGCAGTCTTCCTGCCGAGCAGGGAGCCCGATGTGGGGCTCGATCCAGGGCCCTGGGATCATGACCTGTGCCAAAGGCAGACGCTTAACGACTGAGCCACCCAGGCGCCCCAGTCATAGAATTTTAAAGCAGGAGGGCACTTTAGAGATTATATAGTTCCTTTTCTTTGTTTTATAGGTGATAAGTTTAAATAACTTTTCCAAAGTCACACATCTCATTCATTTAGAACTTGGATACAGGTAAGAAACTGCTAGCTTCTCCACTCAAGGTCATATGAGTGTGCTAGACAAAACAGGTATTGAATTTAAAAACATCTAACCCTTTTTGTTGGAGTCATAAGGAGAAGACATTAATCTCTTGCAATGTAACACAGCCTCTGTAGATGGCTGAGAGGAACCACATTTTCTTACCTCAGATAGCAAGTGAGAGGACTTTCTCTCCATCCCTGGCAAGGTCCTCTCCAACCATTTATAAATACAAGGCTATCATAAGTCATTGTTATTAAGAAGGTAATTAATGGTTTAAATGTAAATGTATATAGATCAACGTTCCCAAGTTTTTGGAGAGAATTAGTGTGGATCAAAGTGCCTAACCTATAGTGAATGCTAGATTTAGTCGTTATGAGAAGTCCACCACTGGGTTTCATTAGCTCACCATAAGACCAAAATATAAGGTTTTCTAATTAAACTTGTGAGGCTAGAGGTAGAAAATCCAGAACGATATATCAATAGAAGCTTCTGAAGAGTCATAAAGTAGGCAAGAAAAATGGTTGTGTATTATTCTTTGTAAATATTTAAGAATTAGCTATCATTACTATTAAAGGTCTGTGGTTCCTCTTGTGCCTTCTCCCAAATATGATTATGATGCCATTGACCTACTACCACAGGACATTTGCATTTTGAGTTGCTTCTGGTGAGCAGTGCAGTGTGTGACTGGAACAGAAAGCCCCTCATGTAAACAACTAGGGCACATAAGCAAGATGGCTGTCTGGGGTCAGGGTATGGTCTATGGCCATGAAATGGAGCAAAGCCAATTAGGCTGTATGTGGATCAAGCCTGTGACCTTGACCTCATTAGCACCATGCTCTGCCCAGCTCAACTAACTGGCCCCAGATGGTTAAGCTTAATGCAGCATTTTGTGTACAAGTATCCTAGAGCACATTCAGGCAATCCAAATTCTTGAACTGAGCACTTTTTATGTCTGACTCCTAAGTGAATGACATACAAAAGAGTTTGATGTTTTTCTTCTTTCTTATGGTTAAAGAAGAATGGAGAATTTTATTCTAGACCCTTGAAACTCAATACTCTTCTGGGCTGCTCCCTCTCCTCCTCTTCAATTATGAGAGTAATTGTAAAGTGCCATATCCTGACCTCGCTTGCTTTGGCAAGTTTAACACAAGCCATTGTGGTAGAAACAAGGTATTGCCCAGAGGCCGCTAGAATTCATTTGGTATTTGCTCCATATTCCACAGGGTCCTCCTTCTGACACACATGTTGACAGCCTGAGAACTTGCAGAAATTTTTCTACAGTTTTATGCATTAAAAACCCCTCAGCTTTGTTGGCCTTTTGTTTGGGGACTGGTAGCCTCTTCCTTTTTTCTTCTTTTTTTAGTGATTACTTTTAAATAGACTCAGTCAATCAAAAAATATTTCATTATCACCTACAATCAACTGTGATAAGCTACTTGAGTAATAAAAGCATAAGTTATTCAAGTATGTTAGGTATAAGTATTTTCAAGAATGTTATAGTCTGATAGGAAATGTATGTGTGGATACATACACATTATCTATCTGCCTATCTATCTAATCACATTAAAGATTAATAATAGAAATCAGGGTATGGTATGAGCTCTTGGAGTATATGAGTCATCAGATAGGTCAATCTAAGTTAAGAAATGGTGCTATTTCAGCAGTGAGTCCTCAGCGTATTTTATAGTAATAATTTTGAAAGTGTAAAAAAAGCAGCCAGTTTGGGAATTAGAGGAATTGGACTTTGGTGTGTTTAGCGTTCTTGATAAGAGGAGACTCACTAAGCTTTTATTCCTGCTACTTCTTCCCCTCTGATTGTTGAGCTTACTGCCTGTTCCCCTTCATAGGAGGATGTTTCCTGCCATGAGAGTGAAAATCACTGGCCTGGACCCACACCAGCAGTATTACATAGCGATGGACATTGTGCCTGTGGACAATAAAAGATACAGGTAATGATGACTCTGGGGTGTGGAATTGTGGACATCACCAGCATTCCAAGACAGTTCTTTAAATCATTAGATGAAGCATTTTCACAGTGCACTGTACAATGCACTATAGGGAACAAGGATGGAGGATATGCCAATAACCTGTAGCAAAGCACCATGCAGGAAGTAGTCACTCATTGTTGGAAATCAGGACTTAGTAATGGTTTTGTCTGGAATCCTCCCTATGTCTCTGGAGAGAGTGGGACTGTATAGTGTCTGCCAGGGTTACAAAAATCAAATGAATATTAGGTCTAAAATTAATTCAGTTAACATTGAAAGTGATTAACATATTGAATGATTTGGTTTATGAAATACTAAATGAGTTGAGATGATTTATTTTGGAGAGGTGGAGGAGAAGTGGACCAGTGCAGTATATTCAATCATATGTCTGATGGATTATCCTGTGGATGATGGAGGGGAAGAAGAGGAGAATTGGGTAAGATTTCAAGAAGAACATTTAGTAAAGGAGAATTATTGTTTATCAATATGGGTTGTGAGTGAGTTTGTTAAGTAACTTTCCTTCAAAGTCATTACAGTCCAACATGATGTCTTTGTTTCTTGGATGGCTTACACATAGTTCTTGCCAGACACAAACTGTGGCTTAATCAATCTCTTGAGATGTCAATCAGGTCAGTGAATCATGGCTCATTTTTGAAATGTTTGAGAACTTGGCTCCAAACCTATGAAGTAGGAGGGGAGAGATGAATGAATGGGAAAGACCAGGCCTGGTATGGTAGAGTGAGAGAGCTGCCCAGGAGAGAAGTTATCTGGATGCAGGACTTAGCACAGGAGATGTTTCCAATCTGTTTTAGAGGATCTTGTGATTTGGACTGAGTGCTTGTGTTTGCTAGCATCCAGGTGCTGTGTGGTCCTTTGTAAGTGAGAAGCAGGGAGGTGCCAAATCCATAGAGAACTCTCTTCAGAAGTACAGGGCAATTGGCAAAGTGGAAAACTGACCTCCTTTGCTACTAAACAACATCTCACTTCCAATGCCTTTGTGGGAAAATAATGTGGATGATGATGATATTCAAAACTGAATTCATCAAAGAAACACTAAAACACTGACTGGGAAGACTTGGTGGTGTTTCTGGGAATGGTTGCACTGAGGCAAAAACCCTCCATTTTCATAGAAATGCCTCAAAATTCAGATCCTCAGCAAAGAAATGGTTAATAAGTAAGAGGCTTAGAGGGTGTCTGCACATGGCTGTGTTTTATAGGACAATATGGAAGATGTTTTTAATAAGGAACCAAATCCTGAACAAGTGGCCAATGGATTATATGGTTTGCATTTGAAAGGTGAAAGGTTGCAGTAAAATACCTTTTCCATAGCTGGACACATGGGCTCAGGATGCCTGTGTGCACACAGGGGTGCAAGGCAAGGAGAGGGAAAAGAAAGAAAAAGGACTGTGAGAATGTTTTCCTTGTGAGGGCTGCAGCTTTGATCATTAACCACAACCCTTTGCTGCCCTCCCCCAACCCACCTCTTTCTCCATTTTCATCTCTATCTGATTGTCCCTGGTTCTGTTCTCTACCCTACTCCTTTTCTCTGTTGTATTCTCTGTTTGACCCCTACTATTTTCCATCTTTTCATCTGTCTCTCCCGTCTCCTGTCTCTCCTGGCTTTCTGGGCCTCTCTTCCCTCTCTGTGTCTGTCTCTGATTTCTCCTCTCTCCCTCTCCACCTCAGATATGTGTACCACAGCTCCAAGTGGATGGTGGCTGGCAACGCGGACTCCCCTGTGCCCCCAAGAGTTTATATACACCCTGATTCTCTAGCTTCTGGAGATACTTGGATGAGACAGGTGGTCAGTTTCGACAAGCTCAAGCTGACCAACAATGAGTTGGACGATCAAGGACATGTGAGTCAAAGAATCCCATCCGTCTCCCTCTTCCTCCCTTTTGGCTCTAGAGCTGATTAGCCCTAGGCTTTTCCAAGCAGGTGAAATAAGAAGCTCTATGCCATTTGGAGTCATTTTAAGTAAGTAGGCACACAAGTTCCTTTTTTTCTTCCCAAGAGATTTCATTTTTTACAAATCTAACATGTAGCAAACGTCTGCTGTGCATCAGATTGTGTTTATCAGACAAGTGTTCTCATGTTCCAGGAACCCACAGTCTAGTCAGGGGATAGTTTGAAGACAGAAACACAGGACAAGTTTAAAAATGGTGAAAGAAATCACAAAAGTCAGTGGAATAACTCACAGGGCAATAAACTCAGAGAAACAATTAAGTGACAGTTTGGGCTGATTTGTTGAGAAATTCATGCATTTTTAAGAGAAGACTAGGTTTTAAGACTTTCCAGGTATAATTAGAGCACTTGATGTTATTAATTTATCCTTAGTGGCAAGACATACATAGAACTTTCACTGAATGTGAGGGTCCAGATTGAGTGCTATAGGAAGATTGAAGAACTAAAACCATGGCTCTTATCTTTAAGGAAATGATGTTTTTCAAAGGAAGGGAGAACGCACATATACATTCACTCTCATAGTGAGTTGTCATAAATTTGGTAACAAAGTGCAAATGACAGCTTATAGAATTTATTTATTTATTTTTAAAGATTTTATTTATTTGAGAGAGAATGAGATAGAGAGAGAGAGCATGAGAGGGAAGAGGGTCAGAGGGAGAAGCAGACTCCCCGCTGAGCAGGGAGCCCGATGTGGGACTCGATCCCGGGACTCCAGGATCGTGACCTGAGCCGAAGGCAGTCGCTTAACCAACTGAGCCACCCAGGCGCCCCCAGCTTATAGAATTTAAAGACAGCATGAGTCTGTGATGAAACTTTGAAGCAGGAAGGAGCAACTGTCCCATAGCAGAGGTTCTGAGACATTTTAGCGGAGTGTTGTTTTCTGGTGTTGGGACAGTTGTTCAGTATTGTCCAGTTAAGGCAAGCATACTGCACCCACCACCCATGATTGGGATACTCTGCTGTATGGGTCCATGTAATGCTATCTGGTCACTTAGTCCTTCCTGCCATGGGCAAGTACACTGGCTTCCAGTTTCTTTTACATCTCCCCCCACCCAACCCCCATCTGTGTTCTTCCTATAATGCTTCTATCCTGTGGTTATATTTGCATGAGAGCTTGAAAAGATGTAAGGACCTTTGAGCCACTCTGACATAATGTGGCCCCTTCTCATTTCAGATCATTCTGCACTCTATGCACAAATACCAGCCTCGAGTTCACGTGATCCGCAAGGATTTCAGCAGTGACCTTTCGCCCACCAAACCTGTCCCTGTTGGGGATGGAGTGAAAACATTCAACTTCCCTGAGACCGTGTTTACCACAGTCACAGCCTACCAGAACCAGCAGGTAAGAGGCTGCCTTTGAGAGTCTCCTGCTGTATCTGCTGTTCAAGGAGCTTATTCATGCCTTTGGTAAGAAATACTTAATCCTTCTACATGACATTGAAGAACTGGAATAAGAGATGCCAGGCTTGCTGTGCAAACACCATGTTGGTGATGACAAGGCCGTGATGCCTAGTAGCAGCTGGTATAATCTAGATTTAGATCAAAGACAAAATCTTTGACCAGGAGGACCGAATCTCCTAGGTCATTTTCATGTCTCTCTGTACTTGTACCCGTGTTCATGGTCTCTCCTGCATCTTGGCAAATGTTCCTCATCATTTGCAATTCCTTTGCAAGTACTAAGGTTTGATTCATTCTTTCCTTCTTCTCTGCAATTTTCCGTGTATCCCTGCAGTGACTACATCAAAGTCATAAAGCCTCTCAAACCCCGTTGAAGACCCACTGCTTCCATTTACACTATCAGACTAAATTTACCTCTGTGTGATCACCAGCCACACCCTAACATCTGTGTTTTTATGTCAGCAATATGTTCACTCATTTCATAAATGTTTGAGATCTTGAGAACTTACAATAGTCCAAGCTTAGTAGAGAAATCGAGCAGATTAGGAATTTTTTCTCCATAAGCAAAGTAGAGTTTTAGGTGAGTGAAAGAAATAATTTAATGACAGAGATGTGGACAGGGTGTTCTTGCATTTGGGGAATGAGGGAAATTTTCCTGGAGGAGCTAATACTTTCTCTGATGATGAGACGCACATAAGAATTGGCCAGATTGGGGCGTCTGGGTGGCTCAGTCAGTTAAGCATCTGCCTTCGGCTCAGGTCGTGATCTCGGGGTCCTGGGATCGAGCCCCACGTTGGGCTCCCTGCTCAGTGGGGAGTCTGCTTCTTCCTCTGCCCACCTCTGCTTGTGTGCTCATGCTCTCTCTCTCTCTCTCTCTCTCAAAAAATAAAGTCTTAAAAAAAAAATTGGCCAGACTAATGGGGGAAGTATGGCATGGGAGTGGTGTATGGGAAGAGGGAGAGAGACGCCAAGTCTGGACTGTGGGCATTCTAGACAATGTTCTTTTTTTTGAGGAGGGTGAGTAGATGGATTTATAAGTGATCTCACTTTATGCAATTCCCTGAAAATTGCATATGAGTCTCAGTTTTTGCAAATTAGACTATATTTCATCTTTTGACAATTTGTTTAATTAATAGGATCCTGAAGTGAATCCTTTTCTGAAAATAAGAGTTTCTGCTTGTTTATTTTGCTTGAAAGTCTGTGTACTTTTATTTTAGACCTGCTTGGAACAAAATGAACTTATACCACAATACTCAATACCTTTTGTGTTGGATGCTATGCTTAGTGCTCTGACAAAGAAATAGAGGAAAAATACTCATTTATTAAGTATTTATTGAGTGCTTACTATGTGCCAGGCAAGTGAAGGTGAGTGATATAATCTTTGGTTCATATAGAAAGAGTGTTTTGGTCTTTCATAGTACATTTGTCTAAGACTCCTTAGATGTTCTTTGCCTCCAGAGGAATTTGATATACAACAACCCTTCAGTCTGGTAGACAAGTACTATACACTTGTTGGGCTTTCTCAGCAGCTGTAAAGCATTCCCAACTTCAGATTTTCCTTGTGGTTGCCACATTTGATCTAAAGTAGAGGAAGCATTTTAGTATGCTTTGGGTGTTATTAAAAAACTATTGAACTCTTTCAAACTCCTTAGGTAGTAAAATAACAGAAGCCATGGAGGGTCCTTACAGGAATCTTTAATAATCAAGATTTTTCAAGCTCTGAAACAAGATAGTGCAGCAATATAGACAATGCCCTTTGGAGTGATTGGAACCTTGGGGTTAATTGTGGTTCAGGAGAGGAGGGGAGCACAAGTCTAAGTTCTTTGAATAACTGATGGGACTTTTTCCCCAAGACAGCCAGCCACCATTTTAATCATTAGTTTCTCATGAAGGCAGAAATGTGGCAACAAATATTACAACTTTAGAATTTAGCTTGTGGGGCAAACTAGAACACTGGTGAATGAATATTCTGCTGCCTCATCACGATCAGTTATAGAGGCCATGAGGGTCAGTACTGTCACCCAAGCTGAAATTAAAAAGCCACAACTCACCGTGACATTGTCAATGAAAGAAGACCAAACATGGCTGCCTGAAATCCCTCTTACTTCTTCTACCTTCTCTCACAGCATTCCTATGTCTGAGGACATTCTACTCATGAATATTTTGTCTTCATCTGGACTGGGGTGGGGGCAGTGGTGGTTTGTTGGGGGCGGGGCACCATGATTAAGTTCATGGGATTTGGTAGCAGCCATACCTGGTTTGATTTCTGACCTTTCCACGGACTGATTGTATGACCCTGAGCAAGTTTCTTAACTCCCTTCATCAGTATTTCCTGGCCTGAAAATGTCCTGGCCTCATCAAGTTAGTGATGAGGACTAGATGAGGGAACACCCATAAAGTCATGAGTAGAAGCCTACATTGGTCAATGGCTGGGTCTGCACAGGCATGAAGGGGAGTGGGAAGTAGAGGCAATTATACAGAATAAATTGCTTATTAAGGAGAAAGTGGATCGTTGGGAATTAGAGGACCTGCATTGGCTCTTGAAGGTGTTATAACCAATAGGTAACCAGTTTGATCTTTCTGTTCTCATGTCATGTTGGTGAATTCATGATGTGCCAACATTCAAAATAGATGAGTCACGCATACTCACTTCTGCCTGGTTTGAAATCAAGATAACAGCTTTTGCCTGTTTAACAAGGCTTCATTCCCCAGATACATCAACAAGCACAATTATTTAACATTCCCTTTCGCTGTGTAGTTATGATTTCATATAACACAGTGTCTTCTAGTAAAGCAGACTAACCTCGGGTCTTTCCCCCAGGAATCTGGAGGTCTGCATCCTGTTACCTAGCAATCATTTTCAGACTTGTCTCAGAGATGCCGGGTAGCATAAACCATTCTCTTCTGTGAGCTAGATCACCTACTACTGTGTTTTTATTTCCCTCAACTGTCTTGAATGAGAAAGATTACTATTTTATGACAAAATTATTTACTTCATGTATTTCTTTTTAAAGTAATGGCTAGGAGGCATGAGAGAGTAAAGAGGAAAAGCCAATGGGGGGGGGGAATCCTCATTGTTCTCAGGAACACAGTGAAGGAAGGACAGTATGAGGAATGGAATTGAAGTGAAATGTTATCCAGTCTTCCTAATAAGGAAAGGCAGTGCACTGGTAGTTTGGAGACCTGGGTTTTCATCCTAAATGAACTACTAGCTTCCTGTGTCACTCTGAGCAAGGTATTTTCTTTTGGGGTTTTGATTTCTTCTTCAAGAAAATGACCAGTTGGCCTGTTTTCTAAGTTCTCTATTAGCTCTGAAATCATAATTTCTCCCTCTTTTTTTTCTGCATGTTTTTAATTGAGGGTAGGGAACAATTTATTGTTTTCAAGCAGAGGCAGTCAACACACACAAATATTGAAAATTATTCAAGGGCACCTGGGTGGCTCAGATGGTTAAGTGTCTGCCTTTGGCTCAGGTCCTGGGGACCTGGGATTGAGTCCCACATGGGGCTCCCTGCTCCTTGGGAGCCTGCTTCTCCCTCTGCTTTTCTCTCTCTCTCTGTCTCTCATGAATAAATAAATAAAATCTTTTTTTAAAAAAGAAAATTATTCGAATGTTCATGTGTGTCAACCCTTTTTTAACCCCCACAACAGGTGAGACCAGTAGAGTTGTAGCAAGTCAGCACTTGAAAGGTGGGAAAGGTGTTTTGTTGCTCGTAAACAAAATATTCCAAGCTATACTATTCCTTTGTCACCCCTGCCAGTCCTCTCCATTGTTAAAGCCTGTATTTCCTTTTGGCTTCTGTCTTGCCACTGAGGCTGGCTGGACACCTGACTCTCCACACATCCAATCTGCCACTAAACTATGTGGCTTCTACTGATGGAATATTTTCTTCTTTCTCATCTTACTGCTTCTACCCTTGTTCTGGACCTGCCCTCCTTCCACCTTAGGCTGTTGTGACAGCTTCCAGCCCAGTCACGGGGACTGATGGTTAATGTCTCATGAGCCATCACGTATATTCACTGAGGGATGGGTTTTCCTAGAACATAGCTCAGATCGCATCATTTCTCTGTCAAAAACTGTTGACTCCTCCGTGCCAGAAGGGAGTATATATAGTCTGAGATCCCAAGTCTTTCCATTAAGGTCCTCTGTAGCTAGTTACCAGCTACATTTCTAGTCTCATTTCCCCCTAATCATCATCATGCGTCCACAGGAGTTCAGCAATCTAGTTGGGGTTTTACTGCTGCTTACACTTGGTAGCAGCTTTGCTTTTGCTTGTGCTGTTGTCTTTCCAGGAATGACCTTTCTGTTCATCTTTATCTGTCTAGCTTCCTTCTACTCTTCGAGTTCAGTACAAACACAAACCTTCCCGACATTTTTCCCTACAACGTTCCTTACATTTTTCAGCTGCGAATGAGCTTTCCCTCATTGAACTGTTAGTGTGCCATACCTCTCTCATGACCCTGTCACATTCTAAGCTGTGCGCGTGACCAATCTTCCTCTCAATATTTTGAGCTTTTTGAGAAACAAACATTGTGCCTTTACAAAACCCGGTGTAGAAAACAGCAGATCGGGAGTTAGGGGACTCAGGTTCTAGACCCAACTCTGCAGCTGACAGACTCTACTGCTTCTGACAAATCGCTTCACCTCCGAATCCTCATTTGTAAATTGGTGGTTTGCTTCTCAGCTACCAGTCTATGGAGACATTTTTTATAGTCCACTGAAAGATGAGAAAAATAAAGGCAGGATAGGGGCAGTTTATACCTGTAAACGTTCATTTAAATAGGCTGTATTTTATTTTGTCCTTTTAACCTTTTTTGATACTAAAATGTCATTTTTAAAAAGATTTTATTTATTTATTTGACGGAGAGAGACAGCAAGAGCAGGAACACAAGCAGGGGGAGTGGGAGAGGGAGAAGCAGGCTTCCCGCTGAGCAGGGAGCCCG